CAGCAATAAGTAAATGATTTAAATATATGGGAACCAATAAAACTGGTTATATTTCAAGCCCACCTTCGGTAAGATGCCACTTTACTTTGCATATAATACTTCCTACTTTAACTAACATATACTTTTACTAGCATGTTAATACAACTAATTCAAATTTAATTTATAACAATTACAATTACTACAGTTGTCCTACTGACGAAATCCAGTTGTGGTAATGGTAAGAAATGTATACGACTTAATGGACCGGAATATTTCCTAGTACTGCAATAATTTTATTAAAATAATTTTACCACCATTTTTACTAATTTCTTAATATTATTTTCTCTTCTACCTTTCTTTTCTATTAAAAAATTAAGCAAAAAAAAAAAAAAAAACAACTACTGATTAAGTTCGATGATTAAGATGCCCAGTAAATTTATGCTTTGTTTTAGCTGACCTTCAGCATTTGAGTGAAAACATCTTTCGAGATAGCCTCTACGAAACGCAGTGCGCGACCGGTTGGATATTTCGTGTTGCGTAGCTTCCTCATATGTGTGAATATGTTTGCCAGGGCATTCCTGATACCGTCCATATCAGTTGCAGCCATCAGTTCGTTCAGCGGCAAATCCTTCATCAGTACATTGTAATCGTTTACCATTGCTAGCGCTTGCTTTAGGCCTTAAAAAAAAAAAAAAAAAACTACACCTAACATATTTGAGCAAACATTCATACTGTAAAAAGACATGGCGTCCAAAAAGAGAAACCTTAAAATATTCTTAAAAACTAATTACAAATTAACAAATAAAAAAGTATAATACAAAACATAAAATAAAAGATCCTATCAGGGCCTTTTTTGTGGAAGCATTTGGTTTCAAATGCTTCGGCGTTATGGTTCCGACCCAATTCTCAAAGCATAACTCAAAAATTCTGTTGGCAAATATCTCCCCGTGAACTTAGGATCCTGTTTCTAGATCGGGAGATAGAAAAACTATCGTAACTATAAATATAAGGTGCTACTTTCACACACACACACACACACACACACACACACACACCGCTCCCAAATCGAAGGATGGGGAAAAAATCCTTCTTTGGGCTATGGAAATTCCATTGCAGGAGTATAAAAGCAGCCTACATCCGCATTCGAGGTACCCGATTCAACTTCGTGGAACGACGCGTTTCGCCAGGCCCACGTTCGGAATTTCCTTTTACCTTGATCGCTACTTCTGTACAGCTTCTTAACTGTAACTGTTCCCTGACAATTAGTACGGCTCAACAAGGATATCATAAGCAGAGTTTTAGGGACGCCATCCCTGTCCACTTCAGATAAAACTGTGTCAGTGGTTTTTGATAGCCCTCGCCGTAGCCCACTTCGGCATCTTCGTATCTAAGTCTTCGTATCTGTTTCTAATAAAGGTTACTTGTTGTTGTTCGGCCTGGTTCCCGTAGATCCACCACTCGCACAGCTCATACATTTCAAGTCATTACAACTCATGTGAGAACTAATTCATACCTATATGGAGCAAACCGGCGTATGTATTGAACTGGAAATCTTTAAAAACAGCAATACGACTATATCAACGGTAAGGATTCACCAAAATGTCGGGAAAAAAGGTAAATTGATTCGCTGAATTATCATTCTGAAAAAAAAGCACGCATACGAAACAGAGCAGCCAAAAATTACCCGTATCAGCATCGAACGAAACAGTTGCATGGAATCGTTTGCCGCATTTTAGCGCTTCTAACGTCAGAGTCACCTCTTCTGATTCTCTTTTTTGTGCGATTTTTTGCAGCGCTCGTTCCAAATTCAACCAAAATGTCATTTCTTGTAACGATGTACCCGAGCCAGCATCACGATCCAGTTTTGTCACCTGAGCACCAAAAAACATTTTTAATTGTTGAATTTTTTATCTTTTTTCCCGCACTTTCCTTCGTCCTTTCGTATCTTTCCACACAATTACTCCTGCCTGTATTAAAAAGTACGAATGAGAGGAGGAAAGGACGAGAAAACTGCCCCACTTTCTTTCATTGTTAGGACTGATATTACATCCACGTCACCCGATGACATTTCAGTGCAAACTTTTCTTAAAAAACTTTATCACTTTTTCCCCTTCTCTTTCTTCGTGTCTTCTTTCTATCTTTTTTTTTTCCTCTACAAATAAGCACTGTTATAATGACAAGGTCCAGTCGCGGTGTTGAATTAAGACGTACATGACTTAATGGACTGAAACATCTAATCTCACTGCGTCTTCTGCGTTGGCGGGAGGTATCAGTGATCTACACCATTGCCCGTTGTGGCGTGTATCTTTTGTCTTCAGTATTATTGACACACCGTACATTTCAGCGCAGATTTTTCTTACAAAATTTTATCACTGTTTCCCCTTTCCTTTCTCCGTGTCTTCTTTCTCTCTTTTCTTTTCCTCTTCCAATAAGCACTGTCATAATGACGAGGTCCTGTCGCGGTGTTGAGTTAAGACGTACATAACTTGATGGACTGAAATGTCTTATCTCACTACATCCCCTGTGTCGGCGAGAAGTATTAGTGATCTACTACACCTTTGCCAGTTGTGGCGTGTATCTCTTGTCTTCAGTATTACTGACACACCGTTTAAGGGACGGCAGTGTGCCGGCAGTGCACAGTAAGTGCACTACTGGCTCATCGATCGTCCCCAGCGCTGCACACACAGCCCCCTTCCCTCTGCTCCGCTCTTTGACTGCTCTGTGACCACCACGCCTTGCCTGTTCCTTTGTGTGTGTGTGTGTGTGTGTGTGTGTGTGTGTGTGTACGTGTTTTTTTTCTTGTGCTGATTTATATATTTTGTTATTAACGTGATTAAAGTTTCGCGTGAGCTGCGTCCGATAGCTTCAACATTTTCTCCTATACTATTCTTTCGTGCTGCATTCTATCGCGATTTCGCCATTTTGGCTTCCAGGGTCAACCCAGCTGCTACAATTGGTTTATTAATTTTTCTAACTTTTTTATCACTTTCCTATCTCCCCACCCTAACTAAATGTACAGCTGACTGTTGATGAGCAAAATGTCGTAGTAATCAAGGCAACCCTTATTCAGAAAGTTAGGAAGAGCAATCGCTTTATGACATATTCGTTTCAATGGTAAATTGGTATTTGCTTGCCAGGGTGTGGAAAATGTCATCCACTTTTTTATAAAATAATCCCCCAAAAGAAAAAACTACTAACTTTCTTGTAGATTTAAAAAAAAAAAAAACAAAAAAACTTAATTTTAGGCGTAGCATTGCTTGCTTTATGCTTTGGAAATTTGCTTGAATTGAAGCCCATAAAACAGAAAGGGTAGAAAGAGCCATGGAGGTTTCCAAAAAAAAATCAACTTAAATACTTCCAAGTAGCAAAAGCACCAATGACTTAGGCATGATTTTTACATTGCTGGAGGGTAATAGTTGTTGCCAGCATATGCTGGCACTTGAGCTACTCCCATGTGCTTCTGCTTCTCAAAGAAATTGTGACTTTTCCAAAAAACCGGAAAAAAACAATCTACAGCGGCTAGAGCATAAAATACGAACCTTTTGAATTTCTTTAACCCAACGATTGACCCCTTTTTGCAGAGCATTCAAAAACATCGCATTCTCAACATGTTCGCCAAGATCAGTGACACGTGCCTTGCGCCCCTTCTCGGCTGCTTGTTGAATCGTATTTTGGATTACCGGATGGATTGAGAGCGTAATTTCTGGTATATCAATGTTTTGTTGCATATGTAGCAGTGCCACTTCCACCTGAATATTTTACTCAAATATTTGGGGCAGAAAAAAATAACTGGCCGGTGCACCGACTGCCGGTGCGAAGATAAGTTTTTTGCACAGTTCCCGTAGGTTTTTATTGCTGACAGTACTGTTTTCTTTGGCAGATGTTTCTAGCTAAAAGAACTGAAACTGGTCACCCTGACTGTGGGGGAACATTCCCTTTAAAATTTTAGCTTTCTAGTTCTCCTGGTTCCCGAGTTAGCAACCTACCCGCCAAAAACTCTCACGAGCCCGTGCAATGGAACCAGTGGGCAACAGCGTCCATTTTGGCAATAGGGACCGATTGTGATGAAAAACGAGCTAATTGTACTGCCTAGAAGCAGTCCGATTTTCCAGAGCATGTTCTTCAAAAGGGGGCTGACCTCACTGAGATGCTTCTCAACGGAAAGCGCAAGTTTGTCACCATCACGTTCACCTCGTCCATAATCAACCAGCGATTTGAAAAGCGGCATTCCGATGCGTCCAAAAACAGACAACAGCACGTCATAGGAATCGCCTTCGGGGATTCTAAAATTCCCCCCATAAATACTAACAAACAGAGCTGGAAAAAAAAAAAAACAACACATATGGAATTATTCCACGAAAATATTTAACAAAAACATGAATAAACCGCATTAAATTGGGTAAGACCTTAAAGGATAATGAGAAAAAAAAAAATAAGGGAAACGGATGATGTCCGGATTAACATTAACAGCGATGTCCGGATCAACACTTGGGCGATTTCCCCTTCCCCTTCCCCCCCCCCCCCCCCCCCCCCCCCCCCCCCCC